GCGGGGCCGGCCACGCGTTTCCAAGCCAGGCCGTGTCTGAGAGCGAGGTGCGCTATGAGCAGTGTACAAACCTCCCGCTCACAGAGTGCAAACCCACAGGTGTACTTTCTCATCTCTTTGAGTCCACAGTGCTGAGTAGAAAACTTGAGCTGGAGGCTTTTCAAGTAGGAAACGCCATCTGGGAAGCGAACGTTCCAAGGCATCACGCTTTTTACTGGGGGTTTACGATCCCACCTCAAAGCTTTGGAGGGAGCTTACTCAGAACGCAGGCAGCGCCCTAGCAAGGGTTCTTCATAGCAAGGACCACATCGTGCGGGACAGGAAAAATCGTATGCCTTCTACCAGCCAGATTTCATTTCAGCTGTGTTGTTCACACCGAGGCTTTGCAATCCGTTGTTACCTGCGCCCATCTTCCTTAGCGTCCTGCAAACCTGGCGTTTTGCAGGCAGGAGAAAGTGTGGGAGCAGGAGGTTGGAGGTGCCGGCGGAGGGGCACAGCGTGTGCTCGGGCAGAGATCTCTGAAGAAGTGTGCCCCAGGTGGTTACAGGCGAGGGCATACACATACAAGGGTGGCATCTCAAGAAGTTTGGGGTGCAGGGGAGCAGGTGACTTCCGCTTTTATGGTGGGAAGTGCGTTCAAGTTGATTTGTTGGGTGCAAGGGGAACATGGTAGGAATTGTGTCTGTGAAGCAGTTTTTATTTAAGCAGGGTTTAGATTTAAAACGCTTGTCTGCTAAAGGTGGGTAAGTGACATTAATTTCATGTATTTATGCATCACCTATAGACATACAAGTTATTTATCTTAGAACGCGTGTCATTAGGTTTTATTCGTGTAACATTTAAGCACTGATCTGATCGGACAGGATTTCTTTGCATTTGCAAGAATGAGCCAAAATCCTTTTGATTTTAGTTTCAATACCAACAATTATTTTAAAATAATTAAATCATAATAGTAATGGACTGTTCATCAATACTACCTTAGGATTTCCTTTATTCGGTTTCGATAAAGCAAGACAATTGTCTTGCCGTCACTTGTGAAGAGAGCCAATTAATGATACATGGTGTGTTTAATAGCTCTCTTGCCTTCCAAGGTAGTTTGTGTTTATCTCTGTTATTCAAAAGGGTGGCTTAATAACACCATGTGTTAAGCATTTAAAATTACAGTGCTAATCCATGCAGTAATGACACAAATATGATTATGGTGGATGGGTTTTATTAATTATTTCAGTCTTACACCCAGGTCTATGTATAAAGACTGTTCATGTTCCTCTTCAAAAAAAAATACCGAAAAACAAAACACATCAATCCCCACGCCCATGTTATTTCCATAGTGCTAGTGAAAACAACTGATTTTGACAATCTCAGTGAGAGTTCATGCACATAGCTTTATGGGCCCTGAGTCTTATGCAGTAACAAGTTAGTCATGCATAATAAATGATGATATCATAAAGACTGTACTTACTGGAAATCATTGATGCTGGCTAACTTGTTTTTGTTGCACAAGCTTAGAAGGAAGGATAGGCATCAGGATTAAAACTAATTACATTGAAGTCTGTTTTAAAAAAGTTTCTGAGACAAGGTAGAGAAAGGAGGCTGTATTTAAGTTTTGAGTGATTGAGAAGTAGCCAGAGGAACACATGCTAAAATGTTTATTTGGTTTTGATTGCTCCCACAGTATCTGGAATAGTGCCAAAACCCGAAAACGCAAGGATTACTTCAGTTAATCTTCGTAGCATTTTACAGTGGGATGCACCTAGGTTTTACAAAGGGAATATAAGTTACACTGTCCAATCTAAGAGGTAAGTCTGGGGAGTTTGCTTTCTTTAGTTCATGTTTTACAGCTGCGTGTGTTTGTGATTTCTTTCCCTTTTTTTAATAGGAAGATCCGTAGCTGTCCCTTTCTTTTAGCTGGTAAGAGGTTTATCTTCTGAGCTCATATTTCACATCCAAGGTGTTACTTGTTTGAAAGAGAACTCTCAAAACACAGTCTAAGTCTGTTTAGAGAGGAGACATGGTTTATTCTGTCAGGGTGCTCGATGGTGCATTTCCACAAATCAAGCACACCCGATGAGGCTTCTTCTTTACGTTTACACACAGAAGTTCCAGGGTAGTACATCCCCAGTTACAGTGACTGGTCAGTAATCTACAGTCATTGGCTCTTAGATTCTCCATCTCTGTTTAAAGGCACAGTATATGTTTCTTTCACTACGCCTGTTTGTGAGTAAAGGTCTCTGTGGGCAAGGGTCTCTTAAGGGGGTGTGAATTTTAGTATTATAATGAAGGCAGTTCCCTTCAGTATGCCTCAAAAGTTAGATTCATTGACAACTTTTCACTAATGAGATATATGTCCTTGGTCTGAGGATGTTACCCTCCTCCTCTGAGGCCCTTTGGCCTTTGTTCTTTCAGTCATTATCTACCCAAAACAAGACAGTTCTTCTAAACCTTGACAGATATTCACATAGGTTCTTGTGGGGTAAGCTTCGATCTTTCTACTGCAAACCTGGCATCAAAGGCAGCTTTGTACGTACTTTTTTGGGGACCAGAAACACATTTTAACGCTGTCTGTGTGGGTTTTTTTCCTCTGTCATGAAGCTGTTACCTGTGATTCAAGAGTCTTAGTCCTGCAGAGCGTTTAGGACTTTATCTGACCTTTCACTCCAGTAGCACTTTGTTCTCTGCCACCGATGCAGCCAGCTTGCCTGTGCCCTTACTGGAAATGCCCAATGAACTGCAGGCTGGTGGCTCAACCATTCAGTGCCTTAGACTTGGGACACATTTTCCGAGGTCTCCTTTTGCCGGTTTTGGTGGGTTGATTTAGCTTTGATTTGGTTTTGGCACTGTGTCATTCTGAGTTGGTCTTTCCTGTTGGGAAAAAGTGGTCTGTGCAGCTGTACCAAGGAAGGTGACCACTTCCCCAGCCCAGCGGTGGGCTCCTTACCTGCCTCTGTGCTTGGCAAGGAAACCGTGTGGTGGGACAGAGGTCTTTTTGAAGGTTGAATTCTTTGGCCAAGATAAGGTAAAAGCCAAGATAGGATGTAAAGTGGAGATGATGGCATCCACAGGCAGATACCTTCTGAGGAGAGATCCCCAAACAGAGGGTATGGGCCATCTGAGTTGAAAGAAGATTTTTCTGGGTTCTGGTAGCAAATACCTGTTGATCACTACATTCCTACATAGGCTTTTGATGCAAACCAGAAATAGTATCATATGTTGAATGGCTGCAATGAGTTCAGACTCTGTTTTCTCTGGCTGTTCCTTATATGTGTATCTAAAATTTTCTCTGGCTTTTCCTTATATGCATATCTTAAAGACAGTTCTGAACAAAGTCCAAGTTAGACAGCAAAGCCATGCATAGCGATATTGTCTTAATATTTGCAGACTTGTCTGATAACTACTGTCTGCTGAATCAAGTTTTGTAACCAATGCCAATAAAAGGGCACCTATTTACTGAATCGTAATTTTAATCTCTAACTTTATCATGGCTTTATAGATGCATATAAAATGCTCAATGTGTGTGTACACACTGGTAATGATGTTTCTTATACACTGGATCTAATTTTTCTTGTTCATGAGTCATATCTGATTTTGTGTTAACAAACAGATACACCACTTTTCCAGTTAATTGAGAGGAAATACATGTAGTCATATATAATTGAAATGTCGTAGACGTGTTGTTTCTCTTCCATACAGCATCAATTTACCTGGAGACACATACGAAAATGTGAGCACAAATCTGAGACTCACAGAGTGTGATGTCTCTTCTCTGTCTGCGTATGGAGACTACATTTTACAGGTCCGAGCGGAGTCAGAAAATGACCATTCAGACTGGATGACCATCAGATTTAAGCCAATGGATGACAGTAAGCATTTTTTTAATCTTCAAAAAAACACACCATGTTGTATCCTATTAATGCACCTTTACAGTTTGACTCCATACGAAAACCTATAGCATGCAGATCATTTTTAGATTTTATTATATTGAACAATAAAACCTTAGTTGTAATATTTTCATTTTTTGAAGGCAGAAGTTGCTGTCAGAATGCGTTGTAGGTTTGTAGGTTCACTGTTATAGCTAGATGGTAGTATTGGTACTTGAAACCTCTTTTGAGGAGGTTTTCAAAAATGTATGTCTTTCCCTTAAAACAAGGTTCATTAATATTTTTCAGTCAGGGAGAGCTTTTCTTCATGGATTCAGATGTCCTGTGTATCTCGATAAGTTCAATTGTTTTCTTTTTCGTTTCTATGCCAGGCAAAAAGCTTTATTTTTTTTATTTAAAAAGTCACAGAGAAAGATTGATTTTTTAGTTAAGAAATCTTCATTACACAATATTTCCATTCTTTCAGTGAAGCTTGATAGTCTTTCGTGAGAGGTGATTTAGACACTGCCTTACATTAGAGCATACAACAGAGATGTTAATCGTGTTGCTGTCACCTGAGCTTGGAAATGAGAGGAAGTAAAGTCTTCTGTTTTGTACATTCTTACTCCACTGTCCTGGGTTCAGCTACAGCAGTCATTTTTTCTCCTTCTTAGTAGCTGGTGCAGTGCTGTGTTTTTGACTTTCAGTCTGGGAACAATGCTGATAACACCGATGTTTTTAGTTGTTGCTCAGTAATGTTTACTCTGACCGAGGACTTTCTCAGTCTCATGCTTTGCCAGAGAGGAGGGGAAGCCAGGAGGAAGCAGAGGCAGGACACCTGACCCAAACTGGCCAAAGGGGTATTCCATACCACAGCACGTCATGCCCAGTATATAAACTGGGGGGAGTTACCCGGAAGGCCCAGATCGCTGCTCGGGTCGGGCTGGGTATCGGTCGGCGGGTGGTGAGCGGTTGTGTCCTTTTCCCTTGTTATTCCTCTTATCATTATTATTGGTAGCAGTAGTGGTTTGTATTATACCTTAGTTACTGGAGAGCTGTTATCTCAACCCATGGGAGTTACATTCCTCCGATTCTCCTCCCCATCCCTCCGGGAGCGGGGGGAGGAAGGAAAAGGGGGGGAGTGAGCGAGCGGCTGCGTGGTTCCAAGTTGCCGGCTGGGCTTAAACCACGACATCCACTCATAAGCAAAAATCAAGTTATTTTAGATTACGTAGTTAATGTTACCCAAGGCTCTTTTTCTCCTCACAGCTGTTAATACAAAACCATTCACGAAGCTTCTGTTACATCTCATCTTTGAGAGAAAACTTTTAAATTTTTTTTCTTTTCCTGTTCTTCCTCCATTAGCTTGAATTTCATCATTCTGTTCCTTGGATTTCAGAATGTAATTTTACAGTTCACAGCCTTGTTTTTCAAGATGCTTTTATTACCTCTACAAAAGTGTAAAGTTGATAAAATTTAATCTGCCTGTAACAGAAGTACTGAGGCACAGCAACATCAACGTTGCAAGTACGAGCTACAGCCAAAAGAAGATGTAATACAAAAAGTATGGATGGATTTTTCAGAGTAGAGAGCAAACTTGTAAATCATTAACAGAGTTGTAGTTTGACATATAGTTGAAAAAGTGTGGCCTTCAGAGCAGGCTTGGCTTTGAAAGGAAGCTTATTCCTGAATGGGAAACTCTAGGTATAAAACTACCTGGAAAAAAACTACCTGGGAGTACTGGCCAACTGGCCAAATCTCTGAGGAGGACATGAGTATTTTTAATATCACCATACCTGATCTGAGCAGGGTATCATGATAAAAATGTCTGATATTCTTTTCTGTGTTACCATTTCTATTAGTGCTTTTTTATTAAATTCCACTCTGTATTATGGGAATAGCCTCAGAATAACCAAGACCCTCCTCACATTATTTTTTGTAAGTTCAGCAACACATTCATGAGCATTGCATGAATGTATGGTTCAGCGAGCAGATTGTTTGGGTTTTTTTATTATTATTTTTAATTATAGAAGCATGTATTTCTAAAGGAATGCAAAATTGTCTGTATATTGAGCTCTTCCTTTACTAGACACGTCATAGTGTGACTGTATCCAAGCAGAACTTTGGTGCGGCAGCCAGGGCAGAGGTTTTTTGCTGGAGTTGTAGGAGACACTAATGGAGTGCTCATTGCTGACACAACATAGTTAACTAAGGTGCTCCTGAAATAATTTTGGTAGTGGCACAAAAACATAATAAGGATAAGCCATTTACAAATGGCAAGAATATGATATTCAGTCTAAGGAGTACAAGAAATGCAGAAATGATTCAAATGTTTCAGTTTTTCAAAATGATCACAATGAAAGAAACATTAAAACACTTCACTAGAGGTCTACTCAGAAAAGACAGATGTTGCAACAGCTTGGCCGAGAAGAAGTGAGTAGTAACCTATAGAAATAGTTCTTCCTCTTCCAAGAGTCACACAGCTGGCAAAAGGGAACTGAGTTAGTTTATTCTATGGGAAATGTAGATGCAACAGCATCTGTTACCTAAGGGCAAAAATAAATCCCTTTCAAGAGCAATTCTATAAGAAAAGGATTTATTTATGCCTGGTCCATGGCAGGAAATTACTTTTTTCTTATTAATTTCTTTAAAGCGTGACTTGTCATGGGTTGTATGAAAATGTCAAATTGTCAACATGAAACTGAATTCTGTTCTTTCTTCTCTTCCACTATTCTAATATGTAGCCATCATTGGGCCACCCGATGTAAAAGTGAAGTCAGAGTCTGGTTCTCTGCATGTGGATTTCATAGGCCCTTTTGCTGAACGTGACAACTGGCCTCTGAAGCAGTATTATGGTTCATGGAATTACAGGATACTGTACTGGAAGAAGGGCAGCACTGCTTCTGGGGTATTGTGACTCCATGATTTTGATTCATGCTTTTCTTGGTAAAGTACCACACTGATGAAGTTCTGAAAGCTAACAGTACTGAAGTAAAAATGTTTGTCTACTAATTAGTGTAAGAAAGTCTAGTCACTACAACTTCTATTCAGAGCAAATGGCGGACAGCTGTGTAGTTAAATGCTAACAGTGATAGAATTTGCTCTTTCCATAATTAGAACTTATTGCTACGTTATGAGAGTTTATTGTCTCAATTCAGCGGTGTGTTTATCTGCGATGCAGTCTTCCTCACCAAATCTCTGTATTTCATACATACGAGCAAGCGTAAACGTAGAAGCTGTAATGTCAGCAGTGTCTGTGATCATGGCTGATAAGCTGACTTAGATTCGAATCTCATGTCATTCAAGTATTTGTGCTCTTCATGGGACTTTGGGCTTTGAATACCACCATGGATGAGGCCTTATATTAACTGTGGTCACCTTTACCTCTTCAATTTCTGTAAATTGTAATTTGCTTCCTTCCTCTCATGGACAGCCTCTTCCACAGACAGATGTGTTACTCAGCTCCCCACAGAATGCATAGAGAAAGATCGTAAATAATATATTAATTATAGGGTCATAGGTTCTATTACAGGGAAAAAGGAAGCCCTTTACTGGAAGATAGCAGTCACGATGTAATTACTGCTTTTTACATCAGTACAATTTTCATATAATAGGACTCCACTACATGTAATTGTGATTTGTATTTGTTATCCTGGAAAAATTCTTAGGCATTCAATTCCAGAAAATGAGGGACTATCATTTCGCAAAAAACAGACTACAAGAAATTAAGGTATTTCTGCTTATGGGATGCAAACTCAGGCAAATATACAGAGAAAGCGAGAGGTTCAGGTAGAATCTGTGCTTATAACACTTCAGAGCAGAAGTCTGGGAAATTTCATAGGGATCAAAGCAGCAGAAGAAATAGACTATGTAACTTCATAGGTTGTTTTTCAAAGTGGATCCTTGCTTATAATGTTAAAACCTAGCTATACAGTCTGCTCATCCCTGAAAAAGAACCTGTTACTGCATAATGTGCATCCTGTAGGGATTCCTATACTCTGCAGGAACCTTATGGACATAACCAGTCATGCCTCTAAACAGTAAGTTGCATCTGCTGGCATTCACCTAATAGCAGCCAGAAAGTCAGTGATGTGAATGGTCTCACAGTAACCACAGCTAAAATCCAAGTAGAGTTATCGGTTATTTGACATAGGGAGAGCATCTCATTCTGCCTTTAAAAGCCTTGTTCACATTGCAGCTACACCTGCTAGGATTTGTCCTACTAAATGACGAGATGTCCTACCAAAAGATGATCGGAGGGCTGGAGCACCTCTCTTATGAAGACAGGTGAAGAGAGATGGGCTTGTTCAGCCTTGAGAAGAGAAGGCTCTGGGGAAACATTATAGCAACTTTCCAGTACCTAAAAAGGGCCTACAAGAAACCTGGAGAAGGACTTTTTACAAAGGCATGTAGCGATAGGACAAGGGGGAATGGTTTTAAACTGAAAAACGTGAGATTCAGATTAGATATTAGGAAGAAATTCTTTACTATGAGGACGGTGCAAGTTGCACAGAGAAGCTGGGGCTGCCCCATCCCTGGCAGTGTTCAAGGCCAAGTTGGATGGGGCTTGGAGCAACCTGGTCTAGTGGAAGGTGTCCCTGCCCATGGCAGGGGGTTTGGAACTAGATGATCTTTAAGGTCCCTTCCAACCTGTTCTGTGATTCTATGATTCTAAATGTAATTACTTAGCCAGACCACTGGACTCATGCTTTTTAATTTTTTTTGTATTCTCTGTTATTAGGTAACTCACGTAGATACTAAACATAACACTGAAATACTATCTCAGTTGGAGCCATGGATGATATATTGTATTCAAGTGCAAGCAGTTATCCCCGAGTGGAACAAAACAGGGGAACTGAGTGAAGTGCTTTGTGAGCAGACAACCCACAACGGTAATTACCTGGTGCATCACAATGGGACACACAATACAGGGAACTGGGAAATGTGTAAAGCCATTCAGAATTAATACTGGTGTAACATATAAAACTTTGTGTTTGGATGTGTTTGTTACTTTAGTATTGTTTGGTGGTTAATACATATACCTTTGGAGTGCAGGAACTGAAAGTGAAAACTACAAGCAATATGGCACTGATGGCATGATGCTTTACTTCATTCCAGAGCCCTCTGTGTTCCTCATACTCTGCAAATCAGAGTTAAATGGAGCATATGCTCTTCACTGATCATGCTGTGTCTGAATGTCTTTTACCGTCAGCTGTATTTTTTTATCCTATGAAAGTCTTTGTCTGTGTATTTGTCACTGAGAGAGGAATTGGACCCTGTGTAGCAGTCTGCTTCATCTGTGGTGACAATGCCAGTGTCTGTCATGAGGCTAGGCCATGATGCTCTTTCTCTGTGAAACAGAGCAGTTCTTAATCAGCAATATGAACAAATATTTTGTTTATATACTTTCCTTCTCATTTTGAAGGTAGTTATATAAGAAAAGCACTTTCCAGCCATGCCACTTAGGCTGCTGTCTGTGGAGTCCAGCAATTAACCACCACGTGGTCTGACCCTGTTGTCTTAGCAGGGAACTTCATGTCCCTGGTTAAAGAAAGGATGATACATATTATGCCTCTGAAAAAGTCAGTATCTCAGCTACACACCCTCATATAACGTGTGAAAAATCAGAGGCAGAGACCCAAGAAGGAGGCTCTCTGGGGGAGCTGCTGAGCTAAGCTGTTTCTTACAAGTTTTTTTTCTTATAAAATGTTTCCTCGTGTATCTCCTACATGTATATTACCTGCATGCACTGCAGCTGAATTGCACACTGGGCTTGGTGATGGTGTTGCTTGTTAGTTCATGGCTAGATCAGTGCTTAGCAAGCACTGGTTGGTTTAAAACATCTGTACAGTGATGTACGGATACATTCACATTGCCTGTTGTGAAATCCCCAAGCGTGACATTTTTTTTAACAGCTAAGCAGTTTTGAAACTTATAGTAACTTTTCCCTTGCTGTCTTGTCTTTGTTGCCATTTTTACGTGATATTGCCTTATGGGTGGTTCTGTTGGCCTTTTTTCCTTTAGTCATTTGCCTAGTCTTGCATGTAGAATCACCCGTATGTGTAACCATGAATGTGTAAATATGCTGGCTTGTAAGGTTATATTGAGGATTTCAACTCAGCCTATTCAGGCTAAAAATTTAAGAGCTATTTTACATCTGAAAACAGACTTATGTTTGCAGTTACATTTTCGTCATAGTTTGGTTTGGTTTTGGGGGGAGGAGGTGGTGTTTGGGGGTTTGGGGTTTTTTTTGTTGGTTGACTTTTGTTTTGTTTTTAACTCCAAAAAGAAAGTGATAAAAAGAATGTATCCAGAAATTAATAATCACAGTTTTAAGTTTGTTTTGTTTTGTTTTTTTCTTGTCTTGCAGGTGTAACTCCTGTGTGGATGGTTGTGACCATTCTCATAGGATCAATGTTGGTCGTTGTGATATCTGTTCCTGTTTGTTTCTTTTTCTTTTTGTATCTGTATCGACTTGCCAAACATGTTTTTTGTCCTTCATATATTTTCCCACAACACTTGAAAGAGGTTTGTTTTCTACCTAACTCAATTAAAATTGGCCTTTTCGGCTGAAGCGGTTGCTTTTCAAAGCTCTCTGTGCCAAATTAAGAGCTTCTTTTATTTTACCTTCTTTCATTTGCACCTGATTGGGAGCCCTCTGTAAAGTGCAGACTGTTCTGAGGGGGTTTTAGACTAGAAGGAGCAATGTTGGTTATCTGTTGTTACGTAGTTGTGTCAAACTCGCTTTTCTGCCAAACATAAAAAGCCATTCAACTACATGTAAATAATGAAGTTGTGAACTTTGGAAAAAGCTGACAAAGGAAGGTACTTTTCCGTGTGAGAAAGGTAGTAGAAGTTAGTTCATTTAATATTTAATTTCTGGCATTATAAGGTCATAAATTTTGAGTGTATGTTATTTTGCCTGTTCAAGTTCTGTGGCACTGCATAGACATAAGTAAGAAGCAGTGATATTAGACTTCTTTTTTAAGTATACTGATGTATAATAAACTCTAAAATACTGTCATCTTGATCTGTTCTGCGCAGAATGGTCCAAAATATTTAAAGCCACACAATTAAGAAACTTGGCATAGGCTTTTATTCCTAAAGTAACTGCGTAATTTGCAATATGAAGCTTTCTATGGCTTAGAAACAAGATGTTTTCTTTCATTTTAAAGTGACAGAGTAACAGTTGTTAACCTTCAGTTCCTCTTTTTAGATTGTAAACAATTTAAATATGTCTCCCCATCTTATTTGAGACTTAAAATTGCACATTTGAAAGTAAGTTCTTTCACAAATCCAATAGTGAGTTTTAACTTCAGTGAAGTATGTAGTGAAGTCTGAAAGTTCGAAATAAAATAAGAGCAGTGAATGTTAGCCTTTACCACAGGGAAATACCACTGACCCTTGTTACCCATATAGCAACATAAAAAAGCTGTACCAGAATCTCCTCCAAGAAACAAGGCTATAAAGAGTGTTACATACACCAAAGTTAGCAACTCTGCTGAATTTCCTGCAGTTTCTCTGGTCCTTCATTTTGACTTACTTAGAGTTCATCAGACGAAGGCTTTGCAGCTGACTTAGCAATCATCTTGCACTTTAAGTTGAGCACATGTTCAGTGCTCAATGTAGAACCTGGAGCTCAGCTGCTGGGAAGGTAGCATTGCTCTGATCAATACAGGATGTGGTCAAATCTCATTTTGCTCAGAGGCTTCTCACAAGAAAGGGAGAATTTTCATTTTGTGCTAGTGGGTTATAATGGTTAATCAAAGTAATCAACACCAGTTATGCTTACCTAAAATTATATTTATCAAAGGCAGTAGTTTCACTACATGAACATTTGAGGTTGCAGGTTGCTGACAGAACATTTCAAATCACAGTTTGCTAGAAAAAGGTCTAATAGTAGCATTAGGTTTTTGGGTTTTTTTTTTTGGGGGGGGTGTTGGGTTGGTTTTTTTTGTTTGGTTTTTTTTTGTAACTACAGTGAGCAAAGCATCTTGTTTCTTATATAAAATACACTAAAGTAACAGACAGTGGTCAGGTCAAAAAGAACAAAACACAGTTGTACTCCTCCAGCCACTACCATTAAAATTAACTGCGATTTCAGCTGCCAGAACGAGTGGTTAACATGTTATTATGATGTTGGGTAGGTGTGCTATTCTTGTTGACATTGAAAATACAATCATGACATCCTGTGAAGTCCATGTTGATTCTTGAGGTTCCATCTTTCCAGTAGAACAGGGAGTGGAAGGAAGTTGTGATTTTCTGTTACTAAAATTAAGTCATCTTTCTCACTGAACTGCATAACCTTGCAATTTCCCTCCCTCTCCTTTACTTAACAAAATGGTTATGGTTTATGTTGACATTTAAAGCATCACCATTTGATGTCTGCACAGACAGCTCTCTGAGATGGAAGGAACAGTTCACATCTCTTGGAGCTGTTTTATAAATCTCTCTGTGAACTCCTTCACCCACAGTCAAGTCACCATTTTTAGGCTTTTGTTTCCAAACAAAACCTAGGTATTTTATTTTTTTAAGAAAGTTTATATTCCAAAGAAATCACTAACACTTAGGCTGTTTTCTTGCAAATAAAGGCACTCTGACTTGCTTCCAAGCTTTGCACAGGATGTTAAAGTGAGCAGGGAGGTTATTACGTTGTTGCCACTCTGGGATTTCTTATGATTGAGAAAGGCAATTGATGTGTGGAAAACAATGTAAAACATATTTCTAAGCAAACAGGATGGTATGGCTGGTGCAGTCTAATTCTCATTTCCTCTTCCCTTCACAGTTCTTGAACAAGCCTTCCAGTGGTTCACAGATTTTTTCTCCAGTCCCACAAGAAGAGCATCTTTTTTATGACAAGCTAACTGTCATTTCAGAAGAATCCAGAAGTCACAGTGATGAGACTGGGGATGAAGCCAGTAAGACACCAGAGCACCTTCAGGACTCTGAACATGAAGATTCTGATTCAAGAATAACATCAGCTTCAGAAAAGGCCTGAATGCACTCCTCCTCATACTTCACTCAGATCAAAGGAAAAGGAAATGGGCTGTTGAATTTATCTTCTTATTGCTACGTTCTTGAGACAGTAAAAATTCATACATGAAGATGTGTACACAGACTTTTGACAGAATCATACTGTTTTTTAAAGTACAAGAAACTTGACTATAAATGAGGAATTAAGCAATACATAATTTTTGCCGCTGTTTGTAGTGGCTCACTGTTAAGTTGTAGCAATACCTAACACTGTGTCATGACATTAATTTAAAGATCAATTATATATAATACTAGTTAATTTAACTTTGAACTATTTATTGCAAAAGCTAATAAAATGGTATCTTGTATAAGGTTTATAAAAGAAAATCCTATTTTGTAAAGCAGGACCTGATCTGACTTCTTTTTTGTAATGAGAAATTGTGTGTGTTTCTTAAGAATATTCCTAGTGGCATGATCTTTCTATTGAGTATTTTTTTACCTGATGCAAAATTGTAAAGTTACTATGATGGTACGAACTTGGTATGAATAAACCAAACACAAATACTCAATGTGTTTTGCAGTGCAAGGTGTTACTCATACCTCATTGCTAAGGATAATGAGAATGTACCAGTGGACTGTAACCCTCCACATTCAGGTATTGCTCACTCCCCTGAGCCTCTGCCCCACGGTTTCTATGGCCAATTAAATTTTGGCTGCCAAATCCAAGACTCCAGTGGAAAACTTTGCAGCTAGAGTGGGAGTTAAAAGGTAGGTTCATTTATTTATCTATCTATATTTATCAGTATAATTAAAAACAGAAGTAAATCCAGGCTGATGTGATGCCCATATTACATAATACAATCTTCCTGGCATGTGAAGGTTATATCCACACTAACACTGGGGCATAAATTGTGACCCTTGCACTGAGTGCTGATTTTGTGACGTGAGTCTTTTTGTGCGTATTATTACATCAAAGGAGAGTGAAAAATAGATTTCTGTCAGCAGAACTAACGAGTGAAGTTGTGTGTAAAGCATAATATCGTCTCAGAATTGCAACATTTTTGGCTATGTTTTTGAGGTTTGTTAATGCATAAATACACACTTCTTGGGAACCATTGCAGGAGAAATTATGAGGAAAACAGGCATTGATTCTTTGTACCACTGTGGAATCAATTAGCACTTTGTAATCTGCCACATCTTTTCTGTACTTCTTGATTTTCATCATATTCTGGTTTAACGTGGAATATGGAAAAAACGAGGAGGGATTTTCATTTTGGTTTTTCTTTAAGGCATTTGTTTCATTGATGCTTTTCCTCACCTCGCACCAAAGCTGCTCTGTGAGTGCTGATCCTAACGATGGCCAATGTCCTGTGTGTCGTATGCCTCTCCACTGTACAAATTCAGTTCCCTGTGTGTCCCCTACCCCTTCTACCACAGTAGCAGCTTCTTCTATGTAATGATTTTGGTGGGGTTTTTTGGGCTTTCAGAAGACAAAAGCCACATAGCATAGCTCGTGTGGCCAATGCATGTGCTAGTTGACTGGCCAGCTGCTGTCAGAAGAGAAGAGGGTTGGGATTTCCCTGCCTTTTCCTCATTCTTTTAGTAGAGCTGTTTTCATCTATTCAGTGGCTGATTTTCATGGAAGAGCAGGAAGTTGCTGTCTGTTAAAGACGGCTGAAATCAATCAGCTGGTTCAAAGGTTATGATGACGGCAGAGAAAAGGCAGTCCTATGTGAGTTGTCACTTCATTGCAGGTTCATTGGTAAGCCAAATTGGGGGAGAGAGAAAAAATAATCTTGGCTGTTCCAAGAGAGAGTCTTTTTAGATTAAAGCAGGAAGAATGCGTGCAACATCATGTCTGAACTTTTGAAAGGTTGGCTTCCTCCATTTAAAAAGAGGAAGCGTTTCCCCTCGTGTTTGCCGATACCAATTGTTGTACAATCACATGAGATGAGAGGGAAAGACTCTGCCCTCAGAATATTGCTTCTTCTTTCAACACATCAGGCACGTGGGGAAAGGAAGGATTTGTCCTGACCAGTTTCTTTGTTTAAATTTTCTTTGATATGGAACAGGATGTCTTTAAAGAAACAGCTGCTTTAAGTTCACGTGAGCCCACCTTCAACTTTTATAAGGTCTGTTTCATTGTCATAAAGCCTTTATATAGTGAATTCGAAAATGAAAAATAGGTAAGGTTCCAGCTGCACCACAGCTAGCATAAAATAGGAATGAATTCCCCAACCCTGCATCTCAATAGGTTGCTGAAGTTTCCAGAAAGACATGTACAATCCTGGCAAAGGTTCAACCCTCAATCTTACCGTGCTCCAGTTGTCTGAGGACATTAAGCTGACAGAGCTGCTAGACTACACTGTTGCTGGTGGTGTTTTAACGCAGGTAAGTTGGTAAATAACGTTAGGAAACTGTATGCCACGCAAAACAGAAATGAGGGCTCCAATGCAGAGTAGATGCCTCTCTGAAGGGGCAGAGAGACATTCTGTGATTATCTGATGCCAGAAGTCTTACTTCATGCAGGGCTAACCTTGCCATCAGGGCATCCTGCAACACTGATATCTGCTTGCTTGTCTGCTCATCCTTTGGTCATACAAACATCCAGCATGTGCATGTGTGCAGCACCGCAAAGCATCATTAGTATTGCTGGTTATAAAGGAATTCAGAAGTAATGTTAAATAATGATCTGACTTTTGGAAGCCTGTGATGAGTGTTTCATTGCTGACTTCTCACCGCAGGTCAAATCACTTGGCTGCATTATCCTTCTAATTCCCCCAGCTCCTAAATGAAGATTCTTACGCAGATGCCACAGCGATGGGAGAGACAGATGCTTCCTAAGTAAGCAGACAGACATCATGTGAGTAATGACAGAGCAAGCAGCAGAGGGGCAAGGCCTGTAGCTAGCATGTACAGCACCTGAAAAATCTCAGCAAGGTCCTCGTAAAGAGGACAGGGGAAGCTGTACATACACTGACTGTTAGAAGACAAGTTTAGCTTGCTGAACCAGGCAAGGTATTTCTTGGATAACTCCTATGCTCTTTGCTAAATTCCACTCTTCCGACCTCAGAAGAGGGTTTATGACTAAAATAACAGTGACAAGCTGTACTTAAGAGCTCCTACACATGTTGCTCATTGAGACCTGACTTGCAGTAAATATGTAGCATGTTCACCTTGGTCGTGATCCAAAGCAGCTGAAGGGTCCTGCCACAAACAAGGTTCTTCCTTGACACAGAGCAATCAGTCAGATTGAACTGCAAATTAGAATGAGAAGGGATATTGAAATATTTTGGAAAACTTGACCTGCTATTATGTAGCTTTCCCAAATGTGAAATACCCCTATCCCAAAGAGAATAGTCTTAAAAGCAACTTTTGTAACACACGAAAGAAGAAGGCTGGAGAGGACAGCAGAAGGCACACATCTATTTTTATGAAGTGGGGTTTCATGTAAGCACAGCGGTCCAACACCACTTTGTCCAAGAAATGTAGAAATAGAGCCCAAACATCCAAACACAGCGCTGGGAAAGAAGTGGGAGAGAAGCAGGGTTTAGTTTGGTTTGGTTTTTAATATTTACTTCACTTATTATGTTCTGAGCTTCCAAAACTACGTAGAAAAACTATCACTCAGCTGCAGAGTATCAATATATTAATAAAAGTTTGCTCTAATTCCTTTCAGTGAACATCAGCCAACTTTGTGCATGAGACAAAAGCAGTAGGTCATATTTTTAATTTCATAAGATTTTTTGTAATAACTTACAAGATACTGTCACAGACACATTAAGGAATAATGAATAATCTGTGCTATGTCCGTGACAGACATGAAAGCGGTTACAAGAGCACAACAAGACAGAGGTGAGGAAAAGTTTTCTAATGATGAAAACAGAAAAAAATATGGAAAATATTGTCTGAGAAGTGGCATATTAAACTAAAAAAAAAAAAAAAAAAAAAAGATAAAAACCCCACCCAACAAAACCAACAGCTAACCCCAAATGACCATTAGGAAGGAGGGAGATAGAACTGGTCCTTCCTTGAGCGTGTACAATGAACCACTGGTCTCCCTAAGGTGCTTCCTTCCTGAACCTATGTTTCCATGCTTTTCAAACAAGATGAAACGCTGTATTTCCTTCTTTTATCCCGTTCCAGAGCTGCCATGAGAAGAAACAAGCAAATGATTTCTCCTTTGTCTGTCGACCAATGGAAATAAATTCAGTGAGGCCTGTGTGGCCTAGTTTCCTCCACCACATGTATGTTTTAGGATTGATGACCACAGGAGCACACATTGTCTTGCCTTCTGTTTGGTTGCCTGTGTACTGGAGATAGAGCTTCTCTTCTAACAGATTTTATCAACATCAGTTTCTGCTTCTTTCTTCTACAATATCAGTAAGGAAGCTGCATTCAGACTCACCAGAATATAAACTGTAAATATTGTGGTATATTTAGTAGGTTACAAAATATTCCTGCCAGTAATAGCAAGCTACGTGTAGTTCATTAACTGGAGTGCAAAATAGTTACAGTGAAGTGCGGTTTACATAAAATAACTTGCCATAAAAAATGTTTCCCTATAAACTGCCTGCACACAAGATAACAAATTATCACAGAATAAATCTGGCTCAAGGTTGGAAATGCAACACCATACCCCCCTTAGCATCATGTTATATCCATGCATTTATCTTCTACAGGCTCAACCACAATGCATCACTTATTTCAGTAATAGCTCACACTTGATGTGCAGAATGGTTAGGCTTGGGTTTGGGTTTGGGTTGGGTTTTTTCCTGGCAAGGCTTTCATAGCCGAGCAGACTTTACCATGATCAGATCTGCCTTAAAGGTGTTTTTAACTCCTAATTTTAGTATGACAGTACCCTATACCTTGCAAGAATACATTTTGCATAATTCCTGCAGCCAGCTCCTGCCTTCAACGGGCGTAGTTTTCCTCCCAATAAGACGGAAAAAAAAGCACTAAGTATGTATCTAAGCTTTTAGCACGTCACAACAGTGGAGCTGGCAGTCACATACACTCAGC